TGTGGAAAGTTTGTAACTCTCTTGTAAACAGCTTTGTTCATATATTGCATGTCGAACTTCCTCTGGAGAGTTCGCGGAGATGTAGGTGTGATTTCACCGAACTCCGAAATCAGATTGTTGTGTTCTTGTTGTCTTCTTTTCTGTTTTTGATTCGGAAAGATCGAAGTCGGTGTTGGTTTAATTTCCAACAGTAGTTTTGAACGATAAAAAATGATAAGGTAGTGAGCGTCATGGCGTCAACAAGTAACGGTTGTTAACCTAAAGTCGAAGCGCAGCTTTCGAAGAACAAGTAGCGCCGTGGACTGGCGCCAAAATGCATCATGAGAAACAAACTTTTTGGGACCAACAAATCTGCAACCAAATATTTTTTGTCGCAGAAAGTGGTTTTCTGCAATCAAATTTTGATTGCCAAAAATTAATATCTGAGGTGAAAAATTAGCGAACAAATTGGGTTGGGAAAACATAAAAAATGACAACCAAAAAATATTTGGTCGCAAATAATTGATATTCTGCAACCAAATCCGAATTAGTTGCTAATAATATATTTTCTGCGACCAAAAATATTTGCTTGTGCTATTTCAAATTTAATGTCATTAAATCCCAAATAAACAAGAATTGGGATACAATACTGGTTTATATATTTAGAAGAAAGAAAAAATAAAAAAGATATCTATATAGATTAATAGAAAGCAACAAAGGGAGCTAGTGAAATAGAATAATAATAAAAAAAAGATTATGAGATTTTCAATATTTATTATATTAACTTAATTAACACTTTTAGTTTAAGATAAACCTCCAAGTTCCATCCCTCGGGCAAACATTAGATTTTATATTCGAAAGCATCATTAGATTTTGTTGCAGGGGAAGATTCATGAACATGACAATGCAGTGAAAAGCTTCTTTTTTTTTTCCTTTGTTCTTTTTTTTTTCTTTTTCTTTTTTATGGCTGAAAATGCAGTGAAAAAAGCTTAATTACACAAAACTCAGGACGAGGACTGATGGGAGTTCAAGAATGAGGTTGACTTAATTAATTTCTAATCTGCACTGCAGCACAGAAATATTCTCAAGTTTTTGTAGTCTGCTGCATTCTGCAAAGAGAATAGAAGATACTAATCTATGAGTACATGCCAAACAAAAGCTTGGATTCCGTCATTTCTGTTCTGCATATTCCATAGAAAAATTTATTTTTCGTACTTTGCTCTGCGTTTATTTTATCTCATGGAGAAGTTGGCCACTAAAAACAACTAATATAGATGATACAACGATGAAGGGATTGCTCAACAACTTGTATATCTCCACAAGTACTCTATATAAAGAACAATCTATTGGACAGCATCATCTAATTGGATGATAAAATGAAGATATCGAATTTGGGCATGACAAGCAGGGGCGGAGCCAATATACTCATATTTCACAAAACTTTTTAAGTCTTCAAATTATAGCTTGAATTTTTTTACTTTTAAGTGTACTAATAATTCAAACGTTAAATCCAAATGAAAGCAAAAATTGACTACACTGCTATATAAATTCATAATTTTGTAGACCCTAACTAAACTCAATTACAGGATTGATTCATTTGAAAGAAGAAATGAAAGATAAAAATAGATTAAAAGTTAAAAGAGAGAGGCCAAGAGTTAAAAAAAATAGGGGGAAAAAGATGGTTAATGTTGTGTGGAAAAATGTGATGGACACCTGGGCGTACGACAAAGCGACACGTGACCCTAACTACTCCCCACCAAGCGACAACCCTCGACGTCTATAGCTCTAAAGAGCCCAAGCGCGAAGTCCAACGTAGGGCAACGACTCTTCCTGACATCGACAGACCGTGCCGTCGAGTTTGAGGCACAAAGATCCCTCGACTGCAGAATCGATCACCAAGAAGGACGTTTGGGCTAAGCATGGCTGACAACGAGGGGAACGTTCTCTAGAGAACGTGGCAAGTTGCGTACGAAAGTGGGGAACGTCAGCAGGCATTAATGGTGAGCTCTTAAACCGCCCCACAAGGAATAGGAGAGTGTTACAGGGGCGCACAGAGCCGTAATAGAAGACTAATTGGCTGAGTGAACAGTGTTGATGGGGGGGTTGAGATCCAAGCAGAAAAAGAAGAGAAAGAGAGATAACAATTGATGTAAATTGTAACCCCCTCAAAAAGAAATAGACAACCACAGTAGATGTAGCTCTAATTTTACAGAGTGAACCACTATAAACCGTCTTTTCTTCTTTACTTATGCACGTCCAAAAAACAATAAACTTTCACACATTTAACACACAGGCCGGTAATCCTAAGGGAAACCAAGGGGTAACCCGGCCATTTTTTTGTTGACGAGAAATCACAGTCAACAATTGGCGACTCCGTTGGGGACGAAAGCGTTCGACCCCCAACAACATAATTAGCAAGCACGCCTCTAAAAGAGATGGACGAAACCGCCATCCATCCAGGGAATAGCGGGATGGAAGGAGATCTATGCCCGGCCGGAGACGAAGTCCCACCCCCAGACGCGCCACGGCCGGATCCTGTGCAGATGCAGGCCCAACTGACCACTCTAACTGAGCTGGTACGTGGGCTGATGACCGTGGTTGAGCGCTTAGACGGGAGGAACTCCATGCCACCGTTAGAGGACGTCCCGAGGCCGCAGGGACCCGCCATGGCTAGAAACCCAAACCCCGGTGACCACCCACCTATCCAAGAGGGAACTGGGGACAGCGAGAATCACTGGGGCCCTCCTAGGCCTCGGCCTTCCCAATCCTCTGGCAGTCGTTTAAGGGCCGCCGGACTCTGAGCTCCCGAGGACCGGGTACCAAGGGGTCCGGGAAATCCTGAAGTATTACCCTAGAATCCAGGAGGAAACCCGCTAGGAGACTCAGGATCAGTATAGGCGGGCGGCCAGGCCAGGGGTGGACCAACGCTCAAAGGGCAGAGGCGTCGAGAGTAGCTGGCTCGGCCATTTCAACAGAAGAAGCATACGCCATCATGGAACGTATGGCCAACCTGGAGCAAAAACTGACGGGGGACGTGGCAGGTCTAAAAAGGAACATGGGCCGAGTAGCCGAGGTGGTAAACGTCGACATCACACCCAGCCGCACACATGACCATCCATTTACCGAAGAAATAATGGCGCCCCCTCTCCCCGACAAATATAGGTTGCCGTCGATTCCACCATATGATGGTCGAGGGGATCCCGACGACTATTTGGAGATGTACAAAAGGCACATGCTCTTGCACGGGTATGCTAAGGAGATCATGTGCCGAGCCTTTCAGAACCATTTGACAGACTCTGCCCGAAGATGGTTCCGGACGCTGAGGCCAAACTTTATCTCGAGTTGGGATGAGTTGAAGGAAGCATTTTCTCTCCAGTTCATAGGGGTTAAAGAGTACGTCCCCTCGAAGTAGAATCTGACGGCAATATACCAAAAGCCGAACGAGTCATTAAGGGAATGGTTCGCGAGATATGGGGAAGCGGTTGCCACCACGATGGATATAACAGACAGAGAGGCCTTGATGGGGGCCTTATCTAGCATGAAGAAAATTACCCCCTTCAAAAGAGAGCAAAACCGGAAACCCCCGTCTAGCTACAGGGAATTTTTAGCGCGAGCGCAGGGGTACATCAATGCCGAAGAGGCGGACGCAAATGACCCTGAACACAGGTCCAACAAGAATAAAGGGCCCGAACAAAGGTCGGCGCCTGCGAAACAGGACGCGAAGAAGCGTCGAGGTGGAGGAAGCGGGGACAAGCAGCCCACCGCAACGACGAGCGCTCCAGAAGCCAAGGCAAGAGGAGAGCCGTAAGCCTCGGCTGTTTCAAAGGTACGATTCTTACCACGAACTGACAGTAGGAGTCGAAGAGGTTTTTAATCAGGTCGGCTGAGGAAACCTACTGCGCCGACCAGAACCAATGAAAACGGATCCCAGCCAGAGAAACCAAAAGAAATTTTGTAGGTTCCACGGCGATGTCGGCCACCACACCAACGATTGCGCCAACCTCAAGGACGAAATTGAGAGAGTAATCCGAGAGGGAAGGTTACAAGAGTTCAGGGCCGAACAAAGACCCCGACATGACGGCCACGGCGGGCAAGGGGATGATCGACGCCGAAAGGAGAACCAGCGTCCAGAGGATCGTGAACCCGTCAGCGTCATACGAACTGTCCTCGGCGGCCCCTATATAGGAGGAAACTCAAGAAGGTCTCAGAAGGACTACGCCCATGAGGCCAGGGGGGTTTACCAGGAGCGATTCTGAAGAATCGCCGCCGTAAAAACCCCAAGGTACAGCCACACCAACGTGGCCTTTAATGAGGACGACGCCAGCGGAGTTCACTTCCCCCACAACGACACATTGGTGGTGGAAGCCGTGATAGGGAACCACACCGTATGACGAATCCTGGTAGACAATGGGAGCTCGGTGGACCTCTTATACTCTGACTGCTTTGAGAAAATGGGGATCCAAAAGGAGTAGTTTGAAAAGACCTCCAGGCCACTCTATGGTTTCACCGGGGACTCCGTCATCCCCCAGGGGACCATCCGGTTGCCTATAACCGCCGGAGAAAAACCCTGACAGGCTACCACAATGGCTAACTTTGTGGTAATAAAAGGAGGCTCCCAGTACAACTCCGTGATCGGAAGCCCGACCCTTCAGGCGCTAAGGGCCATAACTTCCGTCTACCACCAAAAGGTCAAGTTCCCTACCCCAAGTGGCGTAGGCGAGATAAAGAGCAACCAGTACGACGCCAGGGTTGCATACTCCAATGCCCTACGCGGATATGACCAGTCGGGGAGACAGAAGGCTAGGATGGTTCATCAGAACCCCGTCGAAGACACAGACCCCAGGGTTCAAGAAGAGGTCACATGGTCCCAACCCATCGAGCAACTGGTGGAAATTTGAGTTGATGAAGACGAGTCCACCAAAGTGCTGAAAATATGCTCAGATTTAGCCCCCTCACTTAAAGTTGAGATCGAGAACTTCCTTAGAAAAAACTTGGATGTCTTCGCCTGAAATCACGCTGACATGGAAGGGATCAATGCCAACATTATATGTCACTCCTTGAATGTCGACCCCTCATATCCTCCTAAGAGCCAGAAGTGTCGACCGATGAACCCTGAGAGGTATGAAGCACTGAGAGAAGAGGTCGACAAACTAATCAACAATGGATTCATCAGGGAGGCCCATTACCCACGTTGGGTCTCAAACCCAGTTCTAGTAGTCAAGCCTAACAGGGACTGGAGAACGTGTGTCGACTTCAGCGATCTCAACAAAGCATGTCCAAAGGATGGCTTTTCGCTCCCACGGATAGACCAAATGGTCGACGCCACGGCGGGACATGAGATGTTGAGCTTTATGGACGCCTATTCCGGATACAACCAGATCCCCATGCACCCAGCCGACGAGGAGCACACATCCTTCATAACCGACAGGGGTCCCTACTGCTACAAAGTTATGCCATTCGGCCTGAAGAATGCAGGGGCTACCTACCAACGGTTGTGAATAAAATGTTCGCTCAACAGCTCGGCAAAACCATGGAGGTATACGTCGACGACATGCTTGTAAAAAGCGCCAGGGCCAGCCAGCACGTCGACCATCTGGGTGAAATGTTTGGGGTATTAAGAAAATATCACATGAAATTAAATCTCCAGAAATGTGCCTTCGGAGTTGGGTCGGGGAAATTCCTCGACTTTATGGACAGCACCGAGGGATAGAAGCTAACCCGCAGAAAATCAAAGCCCTGCAGGACATGCGGTCCCCAACCAAGCCAAGGGAAGTGCAAAGGTTGACATGATGTTTCGCCGCCCTAAACAGGTTTATATCAAAGGCAACAGACAAATGCATCACTTTCTTCGACGCTTTAAAAGGAAGCAAGCGTTTTGAGTGGACACCACGGTGTGAAGAGGCCTTCCAGGGATTAAAGGAACATTTGGGCAGACCTACAATCCTGTCTAAACCAAACCTCGACGAAGAGCTTAGCCTATATCTCTCCGTGTCCCAACACGCCGTAAGTTTCGTACTGATAAGGGAGGAAGAAAGGGTGCAATTGCCAATCTACTATGTGAGTAAAAAGCTTCTCGACGCCAAATCAAGTTACAGCGAAATGGAGCGCTTAGCCCTCGCCCTGATGGTAGCTTCGAGAAAGCTTCGGCACTATTTCCAATATCACACCATACGGGTTCTTACAAACCACCCGTTGAGACAGGCTCTACAAAAGCCTGAAACTTCCGGTCGACTCCTCAAGTGGTCGGTAGAACTAAGCTAGTTCGACATAAAATATGTGCCAAGAACTGCGATCAAGGGCCAAGCGTTGGCAGATTTCTTAGCCGAGTTCTCCCATAGGCCAGCCCCTACCGCGCCTGAAGGAGTCGAGACTGCACAATGGAAACTCTACGTGGATGGAGCGTCAAGCGAAAGCGGGTTAGGAGCCGGCGTCTTATTAATTAGCCCAGATGGCCACAAGATTACCTCGGCAGTTCGATTTAAATTCAAGGCGTCGAACAATGAGGCGAAATACGAAGCGCTAATCGCGGGACTACGCCTGGCCAGCCACCTAAAGATCGAAAGGCTCAGCGTCTTCAGCGATTCTCAATTAATTGTCGGGCAAGTAAAAGAAGAATATCAAGCACGCGGCGAGAAAATGGGAGCGTACTTAAGGAAGGTAAAGGAAGAACTCGTTAAGTTCAAAAGCTACGAGATACTCCAGATACCACGAACCGAAAACGTAAACGCCGACGCTCTGGTAAAGCTAGCTTCCACAAGAGAGTCCGACACACTAGGGGTCGTTCCCATCGAAGAATTGGAGCGGCCGACTATTGAAGAAAAAGTTAAGGCATTAATCGTCCAAGCAGGTGAAAATTGGATGACGCCACTCATCCAATACCTAATGGACCCACAACTACCAAACAATAAAGATGAAGCCAAACGAATCAGGTATAGAGCTGTTAGGTACTTGTTGTACGACGGCTTGCTCTACCGGCGAGGCTACTTAACACCTCTACAGCGGTGCCTGAATAATGCCAAGGCCCAGAAGGTCCTCCAAGAAATCCATGAAGGGGTCTGCGGTAACCACACCGGGGGGCATTCTTTGGCTCTAAAGGTATTAGGCAATGATACTACTGGCCCACGCTAAAAAATGATGCTTTTCAATACACCCGACGTTGCGATAAATGTCAAAGGTATGCCACGAGTCCTAAAGCACCCCCAGAAAATTTAACTTCAATTCTCAGTCCATGGCCCTTCGCCAAATGGGGGGTTGACCTGATTGGGCCATTACATCTTTCGCCCGGGAGCCTTAAATTTGCAATCGTCGCGGTAGACTACTACACAAAGTGGGCAGAGGCAAAGGCGCTAACTACAACGACGAAAGCGGCTTGCACCAAATTCATGTGGGACAACATCGTGTGCAGGTTTGGGGTTCCCCACTCAATAGTATCCGACAACGAAAAGTAGTTCGACAATGCCTCAACACGCAGATTTTGTGACAGCTTGGGCATTCGGAAAGACTTCTCGGCACCAATCCATCCGCAATCTAACGGACAAGTCGAGGAGGTCAATAAAACATTAAAGTACACCCTCAAAAAGAGACTCGATGATCTAAAAGGAAAATGGGCTGAGGAGCTTCCCAAGGTCTTATGGGCATACAGGATGATGAGCCGAACTACTACAGGTGAAACGCCCTTCTCCATGGCGTATGGCGTTGAGGCAGTGCTCCCCATAGAAATTGAAACACCGACTCTAAGAACCGTCGTCCAAAACAACGACGACAACACGGAAGGCATGAACGGGGAACTCGACTTGTTGGAAGAAAAAAGGCTCGACTCCCAACTGCGCCTCGCCGCTTATCAGCAAAGAGCAGCGCGATACTACAACAAGAAAGTTCGGCAAAGAAGGTTCGTCCCAGGGGACCTAGTATTAAAAAGGGTAACGCAAAATACAAGACCCATAAATACTGGTTCACTGGGCCCAACTTGGGAAGGGCCCTACTGCATAAAGGAAGTACTACGTCCTGGCACCTACATTTTAGAAAGCCTCGACGGCAAGAGGATTCAACACACGTGGAATGCAGAACAGCTAAGGCTGTACTACCAATAGTGTATGTAATTCTTACGCATTTCAATTGTACATTCTCTACGAATTAAATAAATTGACATGTTTGCAGAAAGAAAGGAATTCACCCCTTAATAACATGCCTGCTTAAGAACCCAATGTTATATAAAACAGACATGGGGGACAGAGGTCCACAAATCACTAAAAACATGGCGAGCACTTAGCAAAATTCTAAGAAATTTTCCAAAGCGACGACCCCAAGGGGTGAAATCAGCGTCAAATTCTCCAATGAGAAAAGACGGACACTTAGCAAAATTCTAAGGAATTTTCCAAAGCGACGACCCTAAGGGGTGAGATCAGCGTCAAATTCTCCAAGGAGAAAAGACGGACACTTAGCAAAATTCTAAGGAATTTCCTGAAAACAACAAATTGCGAAGCAAGGTACGAACAAAATCCATTACCCTTATATAAAAAAAAAGGGGGGGCAAAGGTGTATATATAGATAAAATGAAAAGATGTCCAAATCCATATTAAGTTACAAAACACAAGAAAGACAGAAAGACAGGTAAAAATCATTCCAGGCCTCGCCGCCAGCCGCCGATTCATCGCCGTCACCAGGCGGGGAAACGTTGTCATCACCAGCAGGAGGAGAAGAGTTATAAAGGAAGCTCAAGTCCCACTCAGGACGCTCCTTCTTGATCAGATCGACAATTTACTGACCCGCAGACTGAAAATCCTTAGTGCGGATGTCAGTGAGCTCCGGAGAAGCCTTGAACTCCTCAATAATCTCAGCGCACCTGGCGTCGAAGGCAAATGCAACTTCCGCCTCGGCTTCCCTCTTCCCCTCAGTCTTCCCCTCAGCGAAACGCCTCTTCGCTTCCTCAGCTGCTTCAGACAACTTTTTATCAGACAGATCTGCCTGCTTCGTGAGATCCTCGACCTCAGTCTTCAACTTTGCCAGTTCATCTTCCAAACTCGCTAGCTTGGCCAAGGCCACGTCCCACTTCTCGATGGCATCATCTAGATGTTTTTTGGCATCAGAAACAAGGGAGTTGAGCTTGGCTTCCACATCGTCCATCTCCTTATCACGCTCTTCAACCTTAACTAGGTCAAGGAGGTTAAGCATGGAAAGGACCAGGCTCTGAAAAGTTGAAGGTCAGAAAAATAGGAATGCAGAACGACGAGTATTAAAAAAAAAAAAAAAACAAAAAAAAAAAAAAAAAACAAACTCTCGACAAGGTCTTACGTGGATTTAGAAGGAGATTTGTTTGCGCTGACGATCGACCAAGGATGATTGAGCGGTAGCAACCCAGTGTGGCTTGAGGAAAGACTCATAGAAAGCCTGAAAGACGAGGGAGAAGCGAGGGGGAAGTTTTAGCATCGCCCCAATCTCAGCGTCAGATACGTCCGGGACTTGAAACTTGGGATCTATGATCTTAGCCCCCGGAATAAGTACGCGTTCTCTCAGCGTCAGGGGAATGTCGACATCAGGAATAGGGACCGTCGGCGTCCACGTCTCTGCCACCGGCATTTTTTCCTTACGCCTCTTTTTCTGCGCAGGATCCATCTCCGACCCCGAAGGGCCTTTGGTCTTCTTGCTCCTCGGCGCATGGGAAGAAGAGCTAGCCTTCTCCTTTCCCTTCGACGGGGGCTGTTGGCTCGGCGGGGGTTGTTGATTCGACGGTGGCTGCTGGCTTGGCCCGGATTGCTAGCTGCCAGGGAGTTGGATTCTCAAAGACGCCATCTCTACAGTGACGACGAGACAAAGGTACATTCAACATTTAGAAAACAAAAGCCGTAATAAATAAAGGCATTAAGAGCAGAAGTTACCCTCGTCGCTTAAATGGAAGTATGAGCGAACGTCGTCTAGGTCCGAAGGATCTGGGAGATCAAGGATTAACCCGGCACTTCGAAGGTTGGCCTGGGTCAGGAGAGTATCTATATGGTGAACCTCAGACGGATACGGCGAAGCAGTATCAGAAGTTCGGTGCCAGTTGAGCGGGGGAAATGCAATAAAAATGGCAGTAGTCCTTTATGAAAGGATGAACTGGGAGGGTCATCCCCGCCGTAACGGTTCTGGTATAAACCGGGAGGTACCTGGTCGGCGGCATGCTGGTCCTAAAGTGCATGTCCGGAAGGAGGTATTCGAACCACCTCCTATCGATGCATCCCTCCTTTACAGCCCGGACGATATCTTTATTCCGGACCCTCGACGCCACAACATCGGCGGTAAAAAAGGGCCTATCCGGACACCACTTGTGGCGGCCAGGGGGGCATCTACCATCGAGGCAGCCACCACGCCCACACTGCCCCCCGTGAAGGGGATCCGCTCTACCACCTCGTCCAACATCCGCTCTACACTGCCAAATTCACTACCAAAGCTGTCGCCCGGTACAAATCTGGCTTCATAGCCGGCCTCGACTTCTTCTATGTCCCTCAGCACGGAGTCGATGCTTGAAGACGAAGAAGACCATGAGATCTCCACCATTGAAGGGGAGTCTGGACGGACGACGGAAGAATCCTCTCGACTGGGGGAATTTTGTGCCATTGTTTTGATGATTAAAAAGGCAATGAGCTAAGTTAAAATCCTAACGTCGAGAGGAAGAAAATGGTGACTATTCAAAACGGCGACTACTCATACACCTCGACTTGACGTCGACCATTCATATGAGAATGGTAACGGCAAGTGCTCATAGAGTTTCAAGTCGCTCAGAACCCAGAAACCAGAAGAACACAGACAACAGTAAAATGGAAACAGAACTGTCCTATGCAGCAAAGTAAAACAGAGTAAGTATCCCAAATTTCTACATTCTGCGTATCTCCATACATATGTGAATCAACTAGAAAAACAAAGAAAAAACCCCCACGAGTAAGCAAAACAAACAAAGGATGATGAAGCTTACCGGTGAAAAAAGAGTTCCGGGGAGAAAATCTCAGGTTGAATGCAACACGCCTTGAGAAGCAAGAAGTACGAATTGAGGTTTTTGTGGAGAAGAAGTCCGACAGAGCAAAGGGCGATTCAGCAGGTACGGGACTTGTTTGCGTTTTTGAAAAAAATAGTTGTTTAGTTTGAAGAAGGTATTTAAAGGGACGAAGGTCCTCGACCCCTAACCGTCGGATGAAGACCTTTCAAATCCAACGATAAGGGGGTCCTGCCCAGATCTGACGGTGACAAGCGAGGGCGGGAAAAGGAAGAGTCGCGATCCAAAGGCTCGCACTCGTCCTTTCAAAATGACGCCTTACGTCATCATGGGGAATCGACCGACTCGACGGTTGCGTCCCCCGAAGGAAATCCGAAGCGTCCAGACATCATTGCAAACAAAGGCTCAGAACCGGTTTCCCACACCCGAAGCACGGAGGTATGACCGAACCAAAGCTCGAGGCCGCCTAAAAGGAACCCTCGACCTAGGGGGTGGCTGTTATGTGGGAAAATGTGACGGACACCTGGGCGTACGACAAAGCGACACGTGGCCCTAACTACTCCCTACCAAGCGACAACCCTCGACGTCTACAGCTCTAAAGAGCCCAAGTGCGAAGTCCAACGTAGGGCGACAACTCTTCCTGACGTCGACAGACCGTGCCGTCGAGTTTGAGGCACAAAGATCCCTCGACGGCAGAATCGATCACCAAGAAGGACGTTTGGGCTAAGCATGGCTGACGACGAGGGGAACGTTCTCTAGAGAACGTGGCAAGTTGCGTACGAAAGTGGGGAACGTCAACAGGCATTAATGGCGAGCTCTTAAACCGCCCCACAGGGAACAGGAGAGTGTTACAGGGGCGCACAGAGCCGTAATAGAAGACTAATTGGCTGAGTAAACAGTGTTGATTGATGGGCTACATCTGGGCCTAAGAAGGGAAAGCACTTGAGTGCTTCTGCCTAGGAGGGAAACCCACCCAGCGAAGAAAAGCCCGGTATAAAAGAAGGAAGACCCCCTACGAGGAGGGGGTTGAGATCCAAGCAGAAAAAGAAGAGAAAGAGAGATAGCAATTGATGTAAATTGTAACCCCCTCAAAAAGAAATAGACAACCACAGTGGATGGAGCTCTAATTTTACAGAGTGAACCACTATAAACCTTCTTGTCTTCTTTACTTATGCACGTCCAAAAAACAATAAACTTTCACACATTTAACACACATGCCGGTAATCCTAAGGGAAACTAAGGGGTAACCCGGCCGGTTTTTTGTTGACGAGAAATCACCGTCAACAGTTACAATGCTATTTTCCTTCAAAATTTTGGTTTACTAAAAGTTCTAGCTCTGTCACTGATGGCAAGAATAGTTTTTGACAATGAAAGCCAAGCCATAACAAATAGGCTTGCTAGAACATAGTACGCCACTTGGATATCTATTTCTTTTCTTCATTTCTGCACAGTAACTACTATTAGGCTTGACAGGGAGTAAAAAATACATAATTCAATTATATCAAGCCTGCATCATATCCTAATTTGCAGACAATCAAAAATTAATTTGCTTGTAATTCTTTTGGCATTGAACTTTAGTCACATAGCTCCAGAGAACGCACGAAAAATTCAAATGTGTTCAGCTTCAGAGCCATTTTGTTGGACATAGTAAGTGACAAGAAGAATTCAACCTTCCATGAGCCTAATTCCTATCTAAACTTACTAGAATACTAAGTGATTAGACTAAACTTTGGTCATGAACCTAATCTATTCTAACTCTTGTATGCATACTACTAGCGTCTGATTTGAAGTTACATGATCAAAATTTCAAAAGCTTGGGGCTTATGGAATGCTTAGAGATCTGTGAAGTTGATGGATCAAACAATGGTAGCAGGAAGACTTTCCCCTCCCTCAATATCAATCATCATGGTTGATGTATCTCTAAGAGCTGAAAGTTTTGTTTCTTTGAAAATCCACTGCTGGAATACAGTCAAGACCAGCGTTTTCAATCTCCTCCAGAGTCGAGAGAATAACATTCTTGGTTGTGTCAGGTGCACCTAAAACAACATCTACCACCGGAGCTGGAAGTGACGATTTGGTGCTGCGTTAAGTGCCCTGTGATCACTCTGGTTTCATTCTTTGTAA